CAAGAACATTAATACGAATATACCAGTAACAAGTAAAAATTCACAAAACAATGTGACTTACGAAGAATGTCTTTAAATTATGTAAAACTCGTAATAATAATAATAATAATAATAATAATAATAATTTTTTTTAAAATTTGAAACTGTGTAATGCATATGAACATAAGAATCGATATTCTCTCAAAGCACTATTATGATTGATACATTGCTTGAAAAATGTTTTTTGTGTTAAACAGTATTAGGTTATTTTTATTATTAGCTTTGATTTTGCATTCAATATTAATTTCTTTCTTACTATTTAACTAGAGGACACTTCTGAATTAGTGAAAAGATTATTTGTTGGGTGGTGAAATTTCAATTTAAAAAAAACTCTATTGAAGAACCGAATTCCCGTATAGAACAAAGATCCATTCATGGCAGGTAGGAAAACAAGAAAAAAATACCAACAATTGAATAGCATCATTTTAACTCCTGCAATTGAACTTATTGATCTTTACTTTCGTAACACATTTTAATATGAATTTATAACGTTGTTATTGTGCCTTGTTTGCAGAAGAACATTCACACAAGACATGAAAATAAACATTACCAAAATGTATATTTTATTATATTTACCTAACTACTTTTTAGGTTTCCTGCTACATTACTAAAGATTGCAACGCAGTATGAAATTTCAGCTTGGGAGTGTTTGGCTTCCATTACATTTACAGGCCTAAATTATTTACTGTTATACGTGGAAAAGTTACTGTCGCTTACATTGGAACTAAGAGAATAAAAATAATACGAGTATCTCTTTTAGGGAATAAGCAATTCTTGACAAATATTTTAATAAATACGGGTGCCCTATAGTTAAAGTGGTTGAATGGCCTGGAGGAAAATTGATGTGATTTCATGGAACAAGTGAAAGTACTTGAATGGTTGTGGCGATGTGATATAAAGGACGGAGCAACGGTGGACAGAGAAAAAGGAAACGAAAGAACGCGAGGAAATCTGCCGGGAACACCTTTGCTCATCACAAGTGGATCGAGCGGGAATTTAACTCGGGTACCCAGAAGTGCGATACTGACTGCCACGCTACAGATGACGCACGTAGAACAAACAATGCACAACAGAGGTTCTTGTTCTCTGGAGAAGGAGAAACATGTTGCAGGAGAATATCCGATGCAAATATCAAACATCTTGCACTACTCTTCCAACCCTTCTCAATGAAATTTATGGTGGAAAGAAGACAGGATTTTTTCTTTTCTTTGTGACACAATTCTTCCCCTACATAAATTTAATTTATCTTAATGCATAATAAATATTTTCCGAATAAATTAATTAGACATTTATTTCAGATACGGCAACTAAAATGTATCTGTCTTAGTAGTTTATTCCGTAGAATACTTACGGTATAACTACTTAGACTAGATATTATACTTTGTAGTTCTACCGTAGAGTAGACAAGACCCGTTTTACATAGCTTTTATTGAGATAATGGGAATAAGAAACGTAAGTGACATTTTAACAAATTTTGTTAAGAACAGAATCTTTTTCTACACATTGGTAACCTTATAAAAACTACAGAATGCCTACAGCCTACATCATCTACGCGCTTATAAGTATCTTTATTTTGCTAATGACAGTGCTCGTCTTCCGCGAACTTTGCCTGAGTCCCGTACCTGCTTTTTGTTCTCGACATTTCAGTTGCTTCATCTGATCCACTTTCTTTTTTATTTACTAGATTGATTTCCAGAACCTGGTATTTGGTCTTTCAGAAGGTTTGCTGAACGGGATAATAACGAATAGTTAAGAATTACGTTGAGGCAATGGCTGTGTGGGGGAGCAGGGAAACGGTACCTGCTACCTACCGACCTCTATTACAGCAAATTGCACGTGTTATATGTGGGATTTGAACTCTGGTTCTCGGAGTTACTGACTTCTGTGCTAGTTAATATGCCGTTGTTCACATCGAACCGTCTCCGAGAAAAAACATATGTGCAAAATTGCAACTCATGAAGATTCTAGATCCTAATAAATTACTCTGGTGGCAGGTTGGACAAGAGTGTAACAATGTTAAATATTTAGAATCGTGGACTGGGACGCCAATATCCATCATAAAGAATTGTCTCGTACATCGATTGAGCGCAGTGTAGCGATATCTAATGCCAGTGACCGTAATCGCTGCCGCTGCTCTTCGTCACGAGGGCGTGCGAGTAGCTGCTCGTGGGGAGGGATGCGCGCGCGGGGGCGAGTCCGAGGGAAGGCCTCGGGCCGGAGGTGCTTGACCGGCCGCGGCCGATCCACGCCAAGCCTCGCCACGCAAACCGAGCAAGATGGCGCTGCTCCAATGCATTTTATACGCTTTCCTTCGCGCGATTTCAGGCTCCCGCGGACACCCCTGCGGAGCAATCGCTTTTTCAGTTCCGGACGCATTCGGCCAACAAGTAAGGACTGCATTGTTTTGTTCATTTTTTTAAAAAAACAACGACGGTTCTGTCACTTTTTATGTGGAAGTGGTAGATTTTAGAGGGACCAAAATCTACTATAAAATAATAGAATGGACAAACTTTGACTAATATGCGTTGTACATCGATTTAACGATGTCAGTTTCACTAACCATTTTAACTGTTTCATCATCTAATTTGTTTTTTATATTAATTTCATTGTAGTTTAATTGAACTGTAGGGAACTACAAAGTTACGGAATTTGAATTTGAGAGATCATAGTGATATGTTATAAGAATTGAAGCATATTTTTCTTTCTTTAATTTGGTTTGCTTAAAAGAATGTACCAGAATAGTTTCTGATTTTGTGAGCGCAACCATGCACGTATGAATACGCTCATGTTTTATTACTGTGACGTACTATAAAGTCAATGAAGCTGCAACGGTCGACTTTGCCAATCAATAACATCCCTCGACCAAAATAGTAGCCCACGTGTGAACATGAACACTCGGGAGGGATGTTTCTTCCAACTGGGCCTTTCTAGGATATTAATAGATGAAGTTCTATCAGTATTATATCAGAATAGGTATTTTTATTTTTTTCTACTAAATCGCATCGCAAATGATATTTTCGTTTCCATGAAATATACTTTTGAAATTATACAAGGATTGAATTAGTTTTGCAAAACAACTTTACTCCATTTTTTGTTATGTTGAAATTGCGTATTTAGTGCATATTAATATCGTTTCAACTACTAAGAAGAAAATCAAATCAATTTTGAACCGGAAACGTAAATTTGCAATATATGAATAAGCAAACACATGTGACACAACACATTATTGCAATGAATCAGATAGTTTAAAAAAGATATTTCGGGTAAATTAATTTAATTCAGACATTAGACAATAACGTTTTTAATAGTTATGATTTTTACATTTCTTGGGAAATTGATTTTAAATGATAAAGTTGATCGATAATTGACATCTCTATTGTGGATTTACTCGTAAAAATATCAATGCATTTTAGATCTATGATAAAAACAATGGCTTTTCTTGGTTTTCTATTAAAATGATAGATTAAATGCATAGTGCATGTTCACGTTTGACTTTTAAAACCATCTGATCATCATGGTTTCTTCACATTTTAGTGAAAGCTCGGTGAAACTGTTAACCAAGTATTTATTTAGCGTTCACTATGAGCTATATTAATCTACATCGTAATAACTTGTCCTCATTTCCATATGAAACAAAAGCTTTGCTTGAATACCTAGGAATTCCCTCTTGTAAATATTTTAAACTACCAATCATAAATGCAATTCGTTACAAGTGTGCTCCTCCAGTTGCCCCGTAGCGGGACTGTTGGGCACAGGGCGGTTGGGCGAGAGCGGCACTGGACAGCCCTGCGGCGTCCAGACATCCGCCGTGCCAACGGGAGACGCAGGAACGCGTGCCCGCCGCCGCCGCTTTACGTAAGGGTTCTTTCACACGCCCGCCGCCCGCCACCACCCTCCCTTACGTAAGGGTGCGCGCAGCAGGCGACCAGAGGCCTGCCCTCGCGCCCGACGCGGAAGCGGCCACTTGGCGGTCCCGCCGACTGCGGAACGGACCAGCAGAGACTTATTGGAAGCAGCTGCGCTCATTTTTCAGAAGCCCGCGCCGGGCACAACGACGCAACCGGCGCCCCGCACTCCGAACGTCTTCGTGGATTGACGTGTTACTCGTTGGCATTCGCGGTATTATGCGGCAAGCAGTCAACGGCACTTGTCGTTTTAAGAGTTGTTTGCTAACCAACCATTTTCTTCTCTCTTATAACCTAAACGCAGTAAGATTCATACTTTAGAACGTGATTCCTCCCCCTACATTTCACCGAACGCGTTTGACACACAATATAACGGTTCACGCAATTCGGTGTTACTTAATTGTATAGTTAGTCAATCGACTCATCCCCAGTGACCGAAATGCCTGAGGAGCTAAGGGATTCCACACTTTAAGGGGTAGAGCGCCGACCCGCGCCACCGTTGTGTCGTGAGCATTGCCTATCCTGTGAATGTCACGGCGCAGGGGAAGTCATCGTTCAGAGAGCATATGAGTGCAGGGGCGGCGGCGCGTGGGCCTCCCCCGCGCGAGGGGCGGCGGCCGCGGCCTTGGCTTGCGACGGCCGCGACTTGAGCGGCGGCACGGCCCGCCACGCGAGCGCTAGCGCGGCGCGCGCCGAGGCCAGCCGCATGCCTCGCCTCGCTCCGCTTCCTGCAGCCCCGGCTAAGATATAGCGGGAGAGCCGGGGTCCCGCTCCATCCGCCCCGACACCCGCCACGCCGCTGAATCAAGCGGGCGCGGCGCAATAACCTCGCGGCTCGTGCCGTCGCCGCGCCGCCGCCGCCGCCACACCACCTCCGCCCGCGCGAATCCGCCGTCGCGTGCTAAATTAGAGCACGACAAATATAAACGGTGGGGCGCGCGTCAATAATAGCGCGGGCCGCGTCTTGGACAGCCTGCGCCAGATCTTGAGCGCGCGCCAAGGCCTGGGCCCGGCACCCCTCCCGCGCGCGCGCCCATCTGACGGCGACACTTACACCAGAAGACGGCGACAAGTCCTTGTCGGTGAGCATTCGCATCCAGCTGCTTTGGCGGTGACTTCCCTCGATACGGGGTCCGCCTGCTTGGCGGCGGGGGTGCTCCGCCGCCGCGGCTGCTGCGCCGCGGCGGCTGGGT